GAGTGAGACACAGAACTGAGTTTCCATCACAGCCTTTCAGAAGGAACCAACTCAGCTGACACATTAACCTTGGACTTCTAGCCTCCAGAACTACAGAATAATGAATATCCCTTGCTTAAGGCATCCAGTTCAGATGGTGGTATTTTGTTATGTAGCCCTAGAAAACTAACACAGCAACTTGGACTCATCCCTGACTCCTTTCTCTCACGCTGCACATTAAATCGGTTACATTTAATTCACTTTTACTCTCAGAATACATTCAGATTCGGATCCCTTCCCACAATTTCTCCTGGTACTACTCTAGTCCAAACTATCAACACCTCCTAGCAGATTTTGTTTCTCATTGTCCCTTTTCTTCCCCTGTAATAGAATGAACCTTATTCACTCATTTGCTCAAAACCACCCAAGATATTTCCCTCACACTCAAAGCAGAAGTCAAAGTCTCTGACCACAGGGCCACAATCTGGCCCCTGAGGTGTCTCTGATCTCTTGCTTGCATATTGCACAGTGGTCTCCTCGCTAGCCTTCAAAGCACAACACCTCAGTGCCTTTGCACTTGCAGCGCCTCCCCCACCCCTGCCCCCCAGATATCCACACAACCCCCTCTATCATCTCCTTCTGGGCTTCATCAAACACCACTTTCTCCATCCGGCCTTCTTCACTGGCCACTCTACTCACGGACCCCTTCCTCAGCTCTCCCTCTTCCACTTTCTGCTTTAGCTTCCTTTCTGGTGCATATCTCCATCTCACATGTGGCATATTTTACTTCTTCGGTTTTTTTATTGTTAACGTCATCACACAAGAAAGGAAACTCAACAGGAGCCAGGGTTTTCTTTGGTGTTACTCACCACTGTGCATGGAGCTGTACCTGGTACCCAACAGGCACTTGATCGACACTTGACTAAATGGGTGATCTCCACTAAGTGGCATTTTCACAGCAATCACCATAAAACCCACCACGTGATCAATTCTGAAGGCGCACTGCATTCCTTTCATAAAGAAATGTGACTTGTTTTTAACTGTCTGGAGTATGAAAAGTATGCAGCAGAAACAAATTAAGAGCAATTTAAGAGAAAGTCTAAGTATAAAAAGGGTGAGAAATCCAAATGAAAGCAATACATTTGTTTAATTATAAAATTAAAAAAACATGAATTATTTTTCCTTCTTGTTCACCAACATCTTTCAATGACAAAAGGGCAAATTTGCTTCTAACTGCCTTTCAGCAGTGCCTCCTTCTTCAATTTCTGGAACATTCTCCTAATGCCTCCTTTAATTTATAGTCTCTTATTTTCTTGATCACCAATATGGATTTTCTTAGGAGTTCTACCTTTGGCTGTCTTTCTTCTTGTTTCTACACTCTCTCTCTAATGACCTCGTTCACTACCCAGCTCAAACAGCTCTCTTGGTGACTGACTTTCCAAATCTTCACATCCAGCTCTGGCCTCTCCTCCATGTTCCAATGTCATGTTTTCATTACCTTTACATTACCTCTCTGATCTACGTGTTATCAACTTCTGGAAGGTTACTGCCATCTGCTAGTCACCAGGTTCAAGCCTTAGACCCCTCATTAACTATCACATCCAATCAGTCACCAAGTCCTGAGCGCTTCAGCCTTGCACACCCTTGCATCGCTTTCACCACACAGGTGGTACCACTGCTTCAGGCTCATCACTTCCAAAGGGCTCTTCCCTAACCCCAGCCTCTCCTCACTCCACTCTATAGTGGCTGACAAATGAATGTCTTGTTAAAGAGTTCTGACTCTATTGCTTCCCAGCTCAGAAATCTTCAATCATCCTTACCAAATTCCATCGTAGGATAGCCTTGGTAGCACCTTTGAGTACCTCCTCCAAATCAACTTTCTCCTGCAGGTCATCTCCTACTGCCTGACCCTGTGCTCACCACACTCCAACATCCCTGTCAAGGTGTGGATGCCACCATACACATTCAATCCAGCACTACCTCTCTCCTACTCCCTCCTGGAAACCCCATCCATCCTTCATGGATCTGTAACGTTCTCCAGCAGGGAGCATCACTGTCCTGTCGCCTGCTTCATTTGGGCATCTGGCTAATGCCTCCCCTCCAGCAGCCATCACTTTTTCCCTTTACATTGGTGACCTGGGCACTTATCCTAATCCCTTGAGGGCAGAAACCATGTCCTACACATCTCTGGGCTCTCTGCTGCCATTAGGGCAGCACTGGCACTATTTATTGAATGAATGAAACTGCACTCCTAATCTCATTACAGTAGAACATACATTTCTAAAAGGCGATTTTATAGAAGGTCAGTTAGTTAGGCCAAGGTTACAGGTTCAATTCCCATATGGTTCATTTAACTTTGAACAGAGGAATGAAAAAAAAAATATCCAGGGACACAGACTATTCTCAAAAGCTCAGCCAGCTGTCTCAGGGACATATGCATTATCATCACACAATATAGTCCACAGACTGTGGGTGGGTCAGGAAAATTCCAGTTTCTACTGACATCCTATCATGTAGTTATCTTTGAAACTGATTGACATTTTAAGACTTTTACTTTGGCTGCTGTGTGGA